ATTGACTTTCCTAACGATTTACCTAAGAGTTAACTAATGGATGAAATTATAAAATATTAGGACAAATGCAGTTTAGTTTCTAAGCGATTTTTTTTTTCAAAATTTGAGTTTTTACATCCTCAACATAGGTATTGGTCGATTTGGAAATTACATATCATACTTACTTTTTATTTTATTGTTGGGTAATTTAATTTAATTTATAGTAAGGATTTCGAAAAGCTAAAAATTTTAAACTAATAAGTCCGACTGAAAATGTTGATTGCACCATTGTTCTTAACTCATTGAAATAGGTACATAGATTTCCCGAAACATTTTTTAAAAATCGCTTGGCAGCTAAACTGAATTTATGCCACAAAAAAGTAGTTATACCTTAGGTACCTACATTTAAAGAAATAATTTTAATTTATTACAACTACAATACTCGCTTACCTTTGAGATGGCTTTCGTAACCACAAAAGATTTTGCAGTCCCTTCCGTAGGGTGGCGTAGGCGTGATATTGCAAAATGTACAATAATTATATTTAATATATTGAGCTAAAATTATAAGAACCGAATTGGAATTTCAAACAAATTTAAACTAAATTAATAATTATGAATTTTGTGTATTTGCCCGTCGGTAGAAAACGGTGGTTTGAACGTTGTTTTTCATTTTCAGCCAACGAAATTATAAAAAAAACATTTGGTTATGTGAATATTTTATTTCTTATGGGCGCCATGTGTACTTATATAATAGAATTAAAAAACATGTAAGTGGATGTCGCTCAGCTGTACAGTGGTTACAAGTGGTTCACTGTATGATGGATTATATTAAATTTAAATTCAATGAAATAATAATACGAAAAACGATTCTGAGTTGGAGACGGTTTGTATGTATATACCTAGAGATGAAGGATAGATTCCCAGTAGGTAGTTTTCAAAAGCCTTTTTAACTTTTATGCAAAATTTGTTTTCGATACAATTGATTTTAGTTTTTGGTTTAGATAACTCTAAAAAAAATTTCCGTAAATAAATGCGATTTTCACTGAATGTTTTCTATACATCATACAATTATTAGCATAAAATATTTTGACTCATGTTGAGCTATTTATAGGCATACTAGCTAATCCCGTGCACTTCGTTGCCCGTTAAATGTATCAACTCTATATGACTCCAACTTTGTTCAATTCGTTATTTAATATTGGGTGTATGGTGTTCAAAACTCATCTTAACTTTTTCGTTGCCCGGAATAAAAATTCTGAATCGCAGCAGTACATTATCAGGTAGATCGCGGACCCCGTGCTGTTTGTACTTATGTGTATGATTTAACTCTAAAGCAGGGGTCCCCTGCTCTAAAGTATCAAAGTTATACCAAGTTTGTCGTTTTCACTTAATTCCACCTACGATGGATGAATATAATCAATTAATACAAAATCCTAACCTAACCGTACTAAAATCCGATGATTAAAAAAAACAATTTTAACCCTTTTGGGTGTAATTCGCTCTGCATAGGTATGGAAGCAAAATCATATTAAATTTTAATTTTTAGTCATCCCGCGTGAGTTTCTCATATGGTAATGCGAACAGTATATTATCAGGTAGGCAATCTACCTGGGGTAGATGGCGGACCCATTGAGGAGGGATATAAAATATATAGGTAGCCTATATTAGTACAGCTTTGTAGTTGAAAAAAAATTTGTATACAGTTACAGTGTACCTAAAATAGTATTGAAGTCATAGTTGATCTGGTTGATCATCCCACATTTTTAGGAGTATTTAATATTTATATATTAATATATTTTGGGGGGTTATTACTTATTTTATTTATTTTTATGGACAAACCGGCTAATTGTACCTATAGCTTTGTGAAAGATGTATGTTATCGGTGTGTATTTTATCGTTTAAAATATAATTAGAGTATTGGTGTACGTACGATGAATGAGATTATTTTTATCAATTAACTTCTCAAAACAATTCTTATCGTTGACCTTTGGACAAAAATGATAGGTTTCGGGTAGCTGGAAACCCACGGGCCGTCGTATACAGGGTGATCCATTTAAGTGGGTACACTAATTATCTCGAAAAGTATTAACTTTTTTTGAATTTTTTTTTTTTTTAACTTGTAGGTTTATGTTTTTCTAAAACCGTATAATATTTTTTTTTTTTTCACCCTTATATTTATTAGTGAAACCACTAACAACTTTTGATTTTCAAATGGTAACATATAAAAAAAATATCATGAATTAATAATACCATTTTTATTGTGAATTTACGCGTTAACATTTTTATTTTTCGATGATTCGTTTGCGAGATACAGCTCCTCAAAATATTGGTGGTTTTCAAAATGTTTTCAATAATTGTAAAGACCAGGAGCTAATCATAAATTTGATATCGTTGAACCCAAGGTGACAAAATAAATAACAATTCATTATAGATTACCATTGTACTTTGAACCCTAATCATTTATTAACTTATCGACTAATTGGACATACCGAATTACCAAAGAATGATAAATAAAAACTGGAAATATATTATGAATAATTTATTTTAATCACAATTTCACAGATAATTATTTAAAAATTAAAATGGTATCACCACATGTCCACATAATTATATCTTATTAGTTATTACCACTAATGACTAAGGTATACCCACGATTAAAGATATACAGGTTGCACATCGCCCTATAGTAAACCGCTTCCAGACTGATTTACAAAGTGACTATAAAAATCAGCTGTTAATAATTGACTAGTGGCGCTTAATGTCAACACTCAACCATATGTGTCGACATTTAGAACTAATTTTACACCTATATATCTATAATTGGTTAATTGTAATACTGCCGCTTGGAGCGCCACTGGTTAATTATTGGTAGTCATTTCGTATTTCACCTTATCAGTAGTCGATGTGCAACCTGTATATCTTTAATCGTGGGTATACCACACGATTTAAGATAGTATGGTTGCACAACCACAGAACAAACAGAAGGGAATCTTATTTCATTTAACATAGGCTCTTATGGGAGATGATAAAACCACGTCCGACATTTCTAAAATTTAAACGTGCTGCCACGTACCGGGAATTTCTCTTTTTTCTTTATATTGTGCAGCACTGTTTATTCGTTCAAATTTCTAATATATTATTATATTCAAACAATCAAACCGATTTTTTTTAAGAAATTGCATTTCTATCATTTATCTAAGTACAGAATCTAAGAAAAACAAAAACTATACATATTTTATTTATCACTATCATTTATGAGTGGAATTGCAGATTAACAGTGTAGCCACAAACCACAGAAAACTTAAAAAAAAGGGAATTTCTCGGTACGTGGCAGCACGTTTAAAATTTAGAAATGTCGGACGGTTTTTCGATGAGCCTTAAGATTCCCTTCTGTTTGTTCTGTGGCACAACGACCCATTAGAAAAATGTTATCACACGGCATACGGTTTGAATCGAAAAGTCACGTGATCTACGGGGACCCCGCATACAGCGCTCGTAACGGTAAAAATAAAAACTAATAGGTTTAAATATAATTTAATACATTATTTATTATTTATAATAATCGTATATTATAATTTATAATATAAATTATAATAATATAGTATAACTAACCCTCTGGTCTACCCGTGAGTTTACGCAGCAACAAAATTAAAAATAGTACCTAATTACCAACTACAATAGTCAATAGTACATTGCTACAATTTTTCGATTTTCGAATTTTCTTGTTAAGTTGTTTAGTTATTTAATTATATTTTTTAAATATAACTATTAGAAAAATGCCAGTCTCATGTTGTGTACCTTTGTGTCCATCTAAATCTGATTCCTCAAAGACTAATTTGTTTAAAGTACCTACTAATAATGTTTTAAGGCTTCAGTGGGCGAATGTTTTAGGAGTTACTTTCAAAAGTTCTTCAAAAGTATGTATTAAACATTTTAAAAAGGAAGATTTAATTAGTACTTGGGAGTCTGGCAAGGGATTTAGTAATATTTTTTTTTTTATTTACCGAAATTTTTTTAATATATTTCCAATCATATTGTGTACTACTTCACTTAGTATATTTTTTAGGCAGTGGTATTACTTATGTATTATTTATGTGTTTAGGTAGTTGCAGGTAAGCATAATATAAGATTGTTAGTTTATTATTCATTATTATTCTCCTAGACTCTACGCCATACATGTCGACTTATTGAACTTAAATAAACAATCTTACATATAACGATTCATTATTTGAATAATTAACCCGTAGACCATACTAACATAGACAACATACAATAGGAAAATCTTTAATATAGGACATTATGGTTTAAGTTTGTTAAATTATCAATCATTTTTGCTTACACGACTAAAATTATTTAATTGTCTTTCTGGGTTATGAATTTATCGTCGTATCATAATATATAGCACTACAGATTTGGATTGACTCTCATTATATTTTGCAGGTAATAAGCTATAATACATTTTAGACTATTCAGGGTAAGTTAAAACATATAGCCATAGTACCTACATTTCAAAAATAGTAAACATAATTCGCGTATTTGCACGATTCTAAAATGTTACTATAAAATTTAGTATTTAACAATTATAGTAATTAGTATTCATATTGTTAATTATTATAACGCATAATTGTTACATTGTACATGGTAAATGATTATTATTTATTGTCATTTTCAACCACATTTTGTTGATTTTCTTCAACAGATTCATCTGCCCATGGTTGAAGTTCCGCCGAAACAAAAATGGCATAGAACACAGCCACGGCAAAACATATTATCGTCATCATGATAGCAGTTTCAACTTCATTAAGTTTCTATGTTCAAATATAATAGTTTTATAGTTACCACAGTTAACTTAATGTAGGTAATACAGATAAGAAATTAAGAACATTTAAAATGTATTTATATTATTACCGCAAAAGTCAATATTGGACGAACGACATATTATTCCCATACAAAGTCGGAAATATAATAATGTGTGCACATCAGGAAACCAGACAATAAACTAGCATATTTTGGTGCGATGTCTAAAGTATTTGCGTAGAATCCTATACAAAACCGACGTAGTTTTGTAATAATGTAGTAATAGTCTTAAATATTATACACCCATTCCTTTAAAGTTTAAAGGTAGGTATAGGTACTCACCAAAATTATAAAGATGACGCATTTCTTTAAACAAATATTGACACATTTTATTGTTTCTTATACTATTCCCTAAAGTGGCCTCCAGAAAAAAAATAATTCCCAATGAACCGAAATATGAGCAACTCCAAATCTTTCTGACGTTGGTAGTGGAAATGGGCAAGGCAATTTCTGGAACTAATTCGACCAGGACGACGAAGAGTAACAACAAAACGACAGTGTTATCTCTCATAGTCCATTCGAAAACGCCCTGTGTTGTCATCAATTTATTAAAAAAGACAGCAATATATTATAAAACAGATATCTCGTTAAAACAGAAATACAATATGACTTGTTAATGTATTAAAGAAGACACATACGTTACTGTATAAATCACTGTGATAATATGATTGGTAAAGTCGATTATCACACACGTATAATACGACTATCGCAAGGAACGGCTTAGAAGTCCAAATCGATTTCCACGGAATGTCCGATACGATTGATCGTTTTAATGATTCGCCATTTGTCCCAAAAGAATATCGCGAGTTGTTTAAACCTCCAAACAATATAAAATTGAGGCTCAGGCTCCAAAATGAATAATTTCCGTTGATCACGTACAACCACAAAACGTACCATGCCAATCCGATCACACCTAAAATTAAGTACATTATATATTCATTATACAGGCAGTATGTTAGTATATTTATTATGCAATTATTATATTATCCTGATATTCAAGTGCTCAGTCTTACGATTTCATTGTAAGCACTAAGCATACCAATAAATAGAGTTAAAGTATAAGACGAATGTTCATTGTGGAGCTTATCCATAGTATCACGGAGATATCCTTCTTCAATTATCACCAAGTACAATACCATTGGAACGTGGCGTATTGACTGTTTATTCAGTGGGACCCAATACGTCCAAACCCTGTCAATTGACAAATCCGCCACTGCCTATAGGACAATAAAGCATAAAAACTGTTACTATTTATTTCTGTGTGCTATGGAGTCACACTTTGCAAATAATAGAATCTTGTTTTTACCATTGTCATTCCAATACAAAATTGTAAGACACGAAGCATGAGACCGTTTAAGTAACTTAAACTCATGATAACAATTACATGACCAATCGACGATATGGCGACGCAAATCCCTAAAATACTGAAAACATATAATACATTTTAGGCTAGATATATGGTATATATAGGGCTAGGATTATTACACAAAAATTTGTTATAATAGTGCTATGCAGCACTGTTGTTCGAATTGAGTTGTACGAAATAACAAAAAAACAAGTAATACAGTTACAGCAGAAACATTAGTAGAAATATTATTCGTTTTGCATATTTTTGTACTCCTGTCCCGTGGTATATTTATTGCCAGAACTTAGAAGTAACAGTGAATTTTTATAATTTTAATTTAAAACCATTAAATTCAAAGTAGACTGTCTGTGCCTATTGCATACGAATATTTTCAAACAAAATACCCACCAAATAATATACAGTAAAAAAAGAATGATTATTATTTGAAAAACAAAAGTTTACATCACAAATCTTGAAATTGGAAAATACGATCTAAACAAATCAGAACTCCGATGAATTTATATTTATTTATTAAATGAAAAAAACGGAATGAGCCGGTTTGGTGAATTATCCTGCAGTAATCTGTATATTAACATATTGGATAAAATAAGCACATATGTAGGAAGCCCTCCCTCCCCGCTCATTTAGATAATGCCTAATTTGTATAACATTTTAATGCATTTATTTGCATTTTATATTTAGCAGTCTTAAACAGCGATAAGGAGGACTGATAACTGATAAGATGCCACAAAATTGTAAATTTTTTTTTACGATGTGATATAAAAAACAGAATTTATGGTAAGTGTATTATTTTTTCGCCCCCCCCCCCCGAGAAAAATTTCTTTGGGGGGTCTTGATATGTAGTACCTAGTACCTACATATAATATCTACCTATATTTTATATTGTATATTATAAACCTTAGCCCTATATATTATATTTGAGTATCGCTTGATTACTTGTGAGCCGGATAAAAAGTGGCTAAAACACCACCAGGTATCAAACCCACAATATATCCAAGCATATTGTAAGGTATGCAACCATCACGATGGATATTGTCAGTCTGTAATTATATTATAATATTATGTAAATAGATAATTAATGTACTAAAAGTTGGTTATTATCGAAATCAATTACATATTTGGAATAATATAGGCACTCACTTTATTTGGTTGATTCATAAATTCAATATATGTGCTATATGTACTGAATTGTTGTGAAGTAATACATAAACCTATAAAAAAAAATTAGTTGAATATACATATACATAATTAATATAGGTACACATATTATATATTATATAATATATATACTTTATATAGCCATTGATTATGAATACTATTACTTTATTACTACTATTCATAATCAATGATATTACCTACGTTAAAGTAAAAATATGTAAGTACCTATAATAAAGATACAGATAGGTACATATTTTGAAAAGTATTTAAAATAGAAATACTTTCAAATTGTTTATAAAACTTTTAGATTCTGAGCGGAGCGATGAATGTATTGGTTTTACAATGATGTATGTTTTTATTTTTTTTTTTTAAATTTTTTTTTGTGCCTGTCATCACGTTTTAGGACAGTAAAAGTGCTTGGATTTTCTTCATCAGTAGCTTTTCTGATAGGAAAGTGAATCTAGTTGGTACTTTGGGGGGTCAAAAGTATAAATTTCCCGGTAGTTTTCACAAGCGCCGGGAAAAACAACATAAAAATTAAGGAAAAACTGGAATTTTTACGCAAAATTGGTTTTCCAAAAAATCGATTTTAGTTATTGGTGTAACTCTAAAAGACATTTTAAATTCAAATTTGGACGAAATTACATATTAAAAAACCTAGAATAACTATTTTAGTTATTTTGTTGTGATTGAATAATATTATTCGTGGGTACTTGAAACTTCTAAAGTGTACTATTATATTTCTATGATAGTATCACGGTTTTTGTTGATGTATAACGCGTTATACCTAAGTACCTAATGGATATTGTGATATGATTAATTTGGAATTCATTATAGGTCAATTTTTTTAATACCATAGATAAGTATATAATATGTCTTATACATACACTGACATACCGTCACCGCTCAGAATCGTTTTTCTTATGCAATGATATTATATCATTGAATTCAAATTTAATACCATCCATTATACAGTGACCCACTTGTAACCTACTGTACAGCAGAGCGACACCCACTTGCCCACGGCCCACCTTTTTAAGTATTGTATGGTAAATATACAGAATATATACCCTGTTCAAAATAAGAAGCACATAGACGGCCACCGGCAAAACCGTTTTTTTTTAAATGTAAATCTATGTGCTTCTTATTTTGAACACGGTATAGGTACTATTAACTTGGTACCACATCGGTCGATGAAATCTTTAGGGTACGCCGATAAATCTTAAGTTTTAAATTTATAATTATTTGTACTTTTACTGTAATTTATAAATAATTGTTTGCATTCGGTTTGTATTATTATATTTCGTCCCTGACTGCCGGCATTCTTCAAAATAGAGAACCAAAGTAAAACGTAGAGTTAATAATAGTAGGAATTTGCTTTTTATTTACGAAAAAATGTCCACACCTTTCCATCTAAACAGAAATATAATTATGTTAAAATTGTTGTGGACGACTGAAGACAACTATACTATAGTCAACTGAGCATTACCGAAATATCGAAAGGCAGGGGCGTACCATGAATTTTTCAAATTCAAGACATAAATTCATTTTCTTAACATGTAAAAAGTATACGGGTGGTTTTCACCGTAAGAATTTTAGACCCCCCTCCCTTGGGGACGCCCCTGTCGACGACAGGTAACACAAAATTATATTTAACGAATCATTACATTTTATATTCGAATCGTCAGTAGGATAAATTCTTATCGAATACATAGCGGTACTACGATTTACCTATGATCGCAAGCAAAACTATTGCGTATTCTCTGTTCCAATATGTAGTTTTCAAACGGATAAACCTGTCGATAAATTTGGAAGACGGTTGTCCTGGTAATTGGATGTGATTCGGAGAATCACATCTATAAGTCGCGTTTTCCTCAAGACTCATCGTCCACTTGTTACAATGAATCAGCCGGCGGACAGGTTTGCCTGTGAATTTTTTGACAGTCAAAATTGAAAATGGTATAAAAATATTCCTTGAAAATCGTTATTTTATTTACTTATATTTTTTCATGATATGTGTAGATATATATAAAAGTATCGTTGAAAACATAACGTTTAAAAAATAATATTAAAGTTGCACTATAAATTCCAAATTTTTGCAGTTAAATTATGTTGTAGATTTACCGACGTTGTTTCAATAAGAAATGTTTAAATAACGCAAATCGTTAAATTGACATATTATATATATTTACACTTAATGATTCCGTTCTCGATTATATAATTATTACTTATTTGGTATCATTAAATTAGTAGGTAACTATAATATATTATAATATTATACTTACTAATTTATACAGCATCATAATCATATAACATATTTTGCAGTAGGAATGTACCTACGACAGTACGACCTACCTATTATATATCGTACTTAGTCTTTTAACAATATTTTAGCTACCTACTTATATAAAAATAAAGTTATGAGACTATGACTTACATGGATAGTTTCCCGAATGTTTCAAAAGTGTAAAAATGATGATCCAATCGTGTACCTTGCAGTTATAGTGTATGCGAGTGTGGTGTGAGCAATGAATAACATGAATAAGTACTGAAATTGTATAGTGTATAAATTATACATAAACCATATTGTGCAAAATAACTCAATGATTAATGTTTATATATAATATGATTATATTTATCTTTAGTATGTAGTGCATCCGTCACATTGAATTTGCCAATATAATATTATTATTTTTTTTGTCTATAATATATGACGTCAACATAACTGCATAATAATGATTTTAATTATATTTTTAAGTTAATTTAAAAATAAAATTAATTTATCATCGAGCATATTTTTTTGGTGAGGGCTAGGATTTAATACAAATTATAGGTAATTTTTTTGTATACCTACCTATTAATTACTATGCAGCACCAGTGGCGTGGCGTGTGTATTAAAAACATGTAAGCAGTGAAAATTTTATTTCAAAGTGATTAGAATATAGGTACTATACCTAAATACCTAATTATAAATTATGTATAAAAAAATGTTATCCTTTTAAAATTTTTAATATTTTTAAAAATATACTAGTTGTACAAATCAAATTCGAGAAAATAAAGAAATTGAAGTATAAATACTTCAAAAGTCTATTACGCGAATGACAGTGACAGTGTAGTGTGTACGTAAAAACGACTACAGTCTACAACGCGTCGGGCTACGTACTGGTCACTCCTTGTTTCTCGCGTAAGCAAAATCAAATGTGCTTACAAACGCTAGTTAAATACGTGACCCCCACTATGGCATTATAGACTATTCGAAAACAACAGTTGCGCGTAAGCAATTTCAGAATGTGTTACACTGTATATCGTATTATGATTATGCAGTTAACATAATAATTGTCGTATATTGTAGACAGTCGTCAAAATATTATTTCATATATGTAATAGAGGTGGGAACTTTTTATTGTAAACCATTGACATAGGTCAGTGAAGCATAATATGTGCTGAGACAGCGATAAGATTACTATATAACACCGCCGCACGCGCAGGCACGAGGAGTCCCGTTGTCGCTGAGTGATTCGGCGAGGACGTAGGTACTGTGGTCGTACGTGTGAAACGTCGATCGTAGTACGGGCTAGGTGATCTGAATTCGCCAAGTGTATTTTATTTGTGTTTGTTTTTTAAATATAATAAAAGTGTTTCCGACCTGAAAACCCGAGTTACAATTATTTAAGTCATTCTTAAGTTCTTACCTTTAATAGGAGCAGCGCCGGGATATACTTACTATGTGTCAATGAGGTTTTATTAAACTGAATAGTGCCAAGGTATATGTAATCTTTGAGTCATTTTACTAGATTGGAAAGAACTTAGGATTGACAAACGCACACCATCGCACCTCCAAGTTAACAGTGCCATTCTAATTAATTTTAGCTAGTGTCATTAGCTAGAGAATACGAGGGTGAGGCGTATAGTAGGTTTACCACGTATTATCCAATACGGGTGATACGACAGAGTGGCGTCCAACGGGGTTACTTATCCACGGTCGGAGACATTTTTAAATAATATTATTTACACTGAAGTTGCCAATAGAAACATTATAATAGTTACATCATAATTATTTTGAAAAATGTTCAGTTTGGAAAATTATATTTTTAAAAGAATAAATAAAAAAAAGGATTTTATTTAACATTGGTAAATGCTAAATATTTGTTAAAGCTTTATGGATTTTGATTAAAAAAAAGGTGCTCTGCTGTACAGTAGGTTACAACTGGGTCACTGTATAATGGATGGTATTAAATTTGAGTTCAATGATATAACATCATTGCATTAGGAAAAGGATTTGAGAGGTTTGTCTAAGACGGTTGTCAGTCTGCGTATAAGACATATTATATAATTATCTATGGTATTAAAAAAATTTGACCTATAATAAATTCCAAATTAATCATATCACAATATCCATTAGGTACTTATAACGCGTTATGCATCAACAACAAACCCTGATACTATCATAGATATATAATAGTGTACTTTAGAAGTTTCAAGTACCCACGAATAATATTATATAATCATAACAAAATAACTAAAATAGTTATTCTATGTTTTTCATTATGTAATTTCGTCCAAATTGAGCTTATAATGACTAGGTATAAAAATAAACTGTGTCTATGTATTTTTTAGATTTTTTGGTAACAGAATAAACTACTTTTTTTTTCCTGTTTTAACCGACGACGTCACGGGATCTGCTTTCGCATTGCTTCCGCCCGTTCCGCGGAGCCGCCATCGTTTATTGACGGTATCAAATATTAATACATACGTGGGAGGCAGACGGGACGCGTATTAGGAACACAGATATATACAATAATTATTGTATATATCTGTGCGTAGCACAGAGTGAACAGAGAGATATATATACAGGAAAACGGACGATATTATTTTGATTTTTACATGCAACGTATATGCAACGTAGATCGGTCGAATTTACTAGTTTTTCGCTTTCGCAATACCGCGTTGAGTTGTGACGATATGCGCATGCGTGAGTGCGTGACCTTGGTTGCACGGCGGCGCGGCAGTGTGGCATAGGGCATAGCGCACTGCGCAACGCGCTTCCTACTCCTAAGGCAGGGGCTATACACGGCGTATTCCGCCGCGTTTCGAACGCTGCGGAAAACGATGCGGAATACGCGGCGTTCGAAACGCGGCGGAATACGCCGTGTATAGCCCCAGCCTAATTCCTAATTTCTATTACTAATTCATTTGCTCGCTAGCCGCCGTGCTGCGGGTTGTGTGTAGCACTGTAGCTATATTGTCCGTCCGTTCGATTATTATTTATTACCATCCGTACAGCGTACATTATTACAATAACAGTGATAAACGTACCGACGGTCGGCCGTATGTTAATCTTTCTCTGCTGTCTCGCGGAGTCCGTATTTTATGCAAGTACTGGCGTACTGCATAAACTACTAATTAAAAGACCATGGCCGATCAATTCAAAAAATGCTCACATATTAGTATTAGAAGAGAAATAATATATAATTATAGAATAGATTATCAAGGTACTTTCCTGTTATACTAGACTACCCTGTTTTTTGAGAACATCACAATCCTGTTATCTAAGACTACCAAAATTATACTTTCCTGTTATACGAGACTACGGCTATTATCGCGACTTCCACCAAAGACTACCTCCGTTATGGCGACTACCTATCTTATTTATCTGACATTATAGTCGAACGATATCCATAAGCTGCGATTATATTTATTATATTTGTCACGGACTAAGATATACTTATATATAAATATCTTAGTCCGTGATATTTGTGGATTTATCATTTTGTATTATTATTATTATTTTATTATTTTATTGTTTTCCGTATGCCGCGACAAATTTGGTACATTACAAATAATTATTATGTATTACATTTTTTTTTATATAATTTGAATGTGGCCATCCCCACAGTACGTACCTAAATTATTTATTATTTTATTTGTGGATTTACCATTTTGTATTATTATTATTAATTTATTGTTTTCCATACATCGCGCCAAATTTGGCACTTTGACGTGTAACATGTAAAATACATTACGAATAATTACTATGTATTTAAATGTTTTCTTTATTTCATTCTGGCCATCCCCAAAGTACATATTATTAAAAAATCTATCAAAGAAGGCAAGAAAAATAAAGGTGGTCACGTATAACAGGAAGTACCATTTTGGTAGTCTTAGATAACAGGATTGTGATGTTTCACAAAATAAGTGCGGTAGTCATCTCGACAACGGAGGTAGTCTTGGGTGGTAGTCGCGATAACAGCCGTAGTCTCGTATAACAGGAAAGTACCATTATATCAATATAGAATTAATGTCTCTTGCTTCAGAAAAATAGCTGACTCCAAAAAAAACTTCGGAGAAGTAAAACAAGTCTTCTGTGCTTTACTTAAATGGATTGGAGTACTTGAATTTTGAGGTAAATAAAAAATTGAAATCAATATCAAAATTCTGTGCTTAGTAGGTGCAAGAGAGAGTATAAAGAAAGTTCCTGTTAAAATTGTGGTAAATAAAGAAGTGAAATCAAACCTCAAAATTCTGTGCTAAAACTTAATTGGCTATTGAAGAAAATTCGATGACATGCAATTTTACCACATTTTTAGCTACAAAAAAAAATTGCACAGAACGAAGTGCATCCATGGACATGTGAATTTTTGCGGGCAAATGTGGAACGTTCTGTGCAATTTTTTAAAGATAATATAGATTTAAGTTAATCTTTCTTAAATTTGTTTTTGAATTCTTTATTTTGTCTATTTTTAAACCTAATTCGGAAACATTTAACAAGGATATGTCTGGATTTATGTTAACTGATATATTTATATTTTTGATTTCATCTCCGGATGACTTAAGTATCACTGTATAGGTGTATATAACGAGCATGAATTTTGTAACCTAATAGTC